TTGGTGGCACTTGCTTGTAGTCCCAGCTTCTCAGGTGGCAGAGACAGAAGGATTACCTGAGCCCAGGAGGTTGATGCTGTGGTGAGTCATGAGTGTGCCAACATACCCCAGCTTGGACAACAAGGCTGAGGTGGGAGAACTGCTTGAGGCCAGGAGTTCAAGACCAGCCTGGGCAACATAGCATGACCCCATCTCTGTTTCATAAAGTAAAATAAATACATAATTAATTCAACACTCACCTCAATTTGGGAAGAGAGGAATACCCTATCAGATATTAGCTGCGCACAGTGGCTCAAGCCTGTAATCCCAGCACTTTGGGAAGCTGAGTTAAGAGGATTGCGTAAGCCCAGGGGTTCGAGACCAGCCTGGGCAACTTGGCAAAACCTCATCTCTACAATAAATCAAAAAATTAGCGGGGTGTGGTAGCGTGTGCCTGTAGTTCCAGTTATTTGGAAGGCTGAGGCAGAAGGATTGCCTGAGGTCAAGGCTGCAGTGGCTGTGAGCGTGCCACTGCACTCCAGTCTGGGCAACAGAGTGAGACTCCAATCAAAAAAAAAAGGGGGGGGGAATACTCTATCAGATATCAAATCTATAAAGTGAGACTAATGCAAACAATGTGATATTGGCACAATATAAAAACAGTGCGACGAAAGAGAATACATGAACAAGTTCAAAACTGAAGCCTGTATACATGGTAATTTAGTGTGTGTAACAAGGGGGGACAGTTTTAGCATGAAAAACATAAAACATTCAATAAATGGTGAAAGGCTATTTGTGGGAAGTGGGGGTAGAAGCCATCAGATCATGAATACTTCCAAAATACACAAAAATAAACTTAAGATGCACTGAGGAACTAATCCTATGAAACATACTAGAAAATGTAAAGAGAATATTTAGTAATTCTAGGGATAAGGAAAGCTTTCCTAAGCAGAAGTCAAAGAAAGACACAAAATTGATAATATTATCAATTTATAAGATTGGCAAATTTTATAAGAAATATTTGAAAGTTCTATAGAGCACAAGATATCATTTTGTTAAAAGACTACCAGACTGTAAGAAAATATCTGTATCATGTGTCAAAAGAAGAGAACTAACTGTGGAATGGATCAGTTAGAAAACAATGATTCTAAACAGATAAAGGTCTAAAATATAAGGACTTCCCACTGGAAAAAAGGATATATTAACAAGTAATTCAGTCAGACATGGTGGCTCAATCTGTAATCCCGGTGCCTTGGGAGGCCGAGGTGAGTGAATTGCCTGAGCCCACGGGTTCGAGACCCACCTGGGCAACTTGGCGAGACCTCATCTCTACAGTTAATCAAAAATTAGCCGGGCGTGTTAGTGAGCGCCTGAGTTCCAGCTACGTGGAAGGCTGAGGCGGAAGGATCACCGGAGCCCAGTGGGTCAAGGCTGCGGTGGCTGGGAGCAGCCACTGCACTCCAGTCTGGGTGACAGAGTGAGACTCCAACTCAAAAAAAAACAACAAAAAACAACAAGTAATTCAAAGAAAATTCAAATTTACAATAAACAAAATTTACAAACAGTAAACTACCTCACTACTAGTAGCCAATAAAGTGAAAATTAAAATAGTTAAATGTCATTTCCACAAAAAGACTGGACAAAAAACAAAAAAGGATTTGTGTTAGCAATAGTTTGAAAAACGCACTGTGATAGTAGAAACTAACACAAATACTTTTGGAAAAATGATTTATATTTATGTTTTTAATGAACTCAGTAATTCTACTTTTAATAACTCCACAGATGCAATTACAGAAATGTACAAAGACATACTATACACACACGCAAATAAATGCCATGACTATATGATAGTGCTCAGTAAATACTTGCTATGTGCCAAGCATGATTCTAAGAGCTTTAAGACATCGACTCATTTAATTCTCATAGCAACCCTAAAATTTAGGTCCTGTCATTTTAACTCCCATTTGGCAGATGAGGAAACTAAGGCACAGGGAGGTTAAGTAAATCGCCCAAGGTCACAGAAGTAGTAAGCAGTGGAGTCAGGATTCAATCTAGGTGTTCTGACTTCAGCACCTGAGTTTTTTTTTGTTTGCTTTTTTTTAGTAGGAATCTTACTGTGTCGCCCAGGCTGGGGTGCAGTGGTACACTCACAGACACTGCAACCTCAACCTGCTGGGCTCAGGTGATCCTTCCGCCTCAGCCTTCCAAGTAACTGGAACCGCAGGCATGCGTTAACATTTTGATTTGCTGTAGAGACGAGGTCTTGTCAAGTTGCCCAGGCTGGTGTACTTGAGTTCTTAACCATTACTGCCACTAGATAGATCTACTGCCTCCCCAAACAAGGAAGTTCACTGCAATATTGTATACAATAGCAAAACACTGGTATTAGCCATGATTATGGATTGGGAAAATAAATAATGGGCCATTTATCATGTAAAAAAGTAAATGATGAAAAACCAATATACAAACACACAAATACTTATGGTACATTAAGTGAAAATAAGTCACAAAAAAGATTTAGCATAATTTCATTTGTATCTTTAAAAATAAAAACTTCTTACGTAGTTTTGTATGTATGTATATTGTTCATTTCTTTAGACCTTTACCTAAAAAATTACACACCAAATAGTGAATACTAGTTTCTTCTGAGGAAAACAGGATTAGGAAGTAAGGGTGAAGTCAGATGTTCACCATTTTATATATCTTTGTATTAAGTGACTTCTTTCCCTAAATGACAAGTTATTACTTTTACATTAAAAACAAATTAGCAAACAAACAAGGAGGCAGAGTCACATCTTAGGTTAGATAAGCTGCTAATAAGACCCATACCACTGTATTTACCCTTATGTAAAGCAGTTAAGTTTGCACTTATTGGCCAGGTGTGGTGGCTAACACTTGTAATCCCACACTTTGGGAGGTGGAGATTGCCTGAGTCCAGGAGTTTGAGATCAGCCTGGGTAACTTGGTGAGACTGCGTTTCTACAATAAACTTTTTTTTTTCTTATTGTAGAGACGAGGTCTCACCAAGTTGCCCAGGCAGGGCTCAAACCCCTAAACTCAGGTAATCCTCTGACCTCAGACTCCCAAAGTGCTGGGATTACAGGCTTGAGCCACCACACCCAGCCTACAATAAATTTTTAAAAATATTAGCCAGGCATGGTGGTGTGCATCTGTGGTTCCCACTACTTGGAAGGCTGAAGTACAAGGATCATCTGAGTCCAGCAGGTCGAGGTTGCGGTGGCTATGAGCGTGCCCTGCACTCCAGCCTGGGCGACAGTAAGACTCCAACTCAAAAATAAAAATAAAAATATCCTCTCCAACATAAACTAAGTGCACCATATACAGAAGTGTGTAAGTATTGTTTTATAAACCCCTTTTAAGGTCAGGTATATGCATGAATGAATATAGTAAACAAATTCATTTCCATATTCATTACATTTGGAAAAAATGTATTTCTAATGGTCAAAAGCATGCCAAAGCCACTGTACTAGTATACCAATGAGTTGCTTAGAGCTCTGTCCTCTGTTGTCACTTCCTGAGATCAAACCTTACCACATCAAGTTTAGGATCTATTACAGTATCTTTCATCTGAGACAGCTACAGAGTGAACATACTGTTTCAAACCTTAATATATACATAAACATCCTGACTTAAATTCAAAACACTTTCTCGTACTAAAATATTTTTTCTATTGCCTCTAGGTTAAAAACATATCACAATTAATTTATTTTTAATTGGGACCACACAATCCTGTCCCTGAAAATTTTTTCTTCTCTAGTCAAAGCTCATCTTGATATTAAGACAACTTAATCAATATCAAATTTTTCCTTTTATGGCAGTCCTTCTGCCTCATCCTTCCAAGTAGCTGAAACTACAGGCATGCACCACCACACCTAGCTAATTTTTCGAAGAGACAATAAATCTTTCACCAAGTTGCCCAGGTGGTCTCGAACCTGTGGGCTCAGGTACTCTTCTTGCCTCTGCCTCCCAAAGTACCGGGATTACAGGCATGAGCCACTGCACCCAGCCTGTTTATAAACTTATTATTCTGTCGCTGTAATGGACAATACAAACAGCTAAAAATTATAATGTTCTGCTAAAAGTAAGAATCAATTTTGTTATTTGTAGTAACTATGTTTCTAGACTAAAACCATGCCACATTAGAGTTGACCTATTAAAATTAGCTACTGGGCAACCCCCTTGGATTCCCTCCCACTGTGGGAGCTTTTCTGTCCTCTTAATAAATCCTGCTTTCTTAAAGAAAAAAAAAAAAAAAAAGCTACTTAGGAATAGGCTTATTTCAATAATAAATCAACTTTATTAGGCATATTTTAAATACCCACTGGCTCTCAAAATAGTTTTCCTAGTACACTGAGTCTCTCCAACATTTACGCTACTTCTCTTAACTCATGTCTTATATTTCCTATATAACCTGTTTAAAATGAAGTAAACTGTAAAGTCCCAAAAACCCTACCCTCCCTCCAGTCTTTTTTTTCTTGGAGGTGAAAGAGAAACTAGAATTAATTTTAGATCCTTTACTCAATATCTAAATTCTTCAGTTCAATCCTTTCATTCTAAGATAATGAAAGATAAAGATCTAGGGAAGGCTGGTGACGTCCTCAGAGTCATATGCTTTGGACTGAAATGATGTATAATTATGAGGCTGCTAACATTGCTTCATCTGTTAGAAAAAATAGCATGATGAGTACTAATTAACCTCATACATTCAAAGTTAGTATGTTCTCTAAAACTTTTCAAAGTACTTTTAAACAATTACTTAAGGCATTTTACAAAAAAAGCAGCTGAATGCCCAAAATATCACTTCCTTTTTACCACATCAAAGCCCGGATAAGATTTATACTTAATGAATTAGCTGGTACTTAAACATATTTCCTCCAAATATTTAAATTCTAAATTTTTACTTTAATAAAGTTTTTATGTTTTAAAGTAAATAATTTTCTGATGCAAATAGAAAAATCATAATAAATTTATTAAAATTCAATTTTCTCTGGATCACATACCTGTTGTTCATCCTCCATGACGTTACTAGCAAATTCAAACACTAGGTCGTTCTGTTGGACAACAGCAGCCATAATAAAGCATTCCCCTTAGATCCACATTAGAAAAATTCCAAACAGGTGCAAATATCAGGCAGTGGAGTTCAGTGCTCAATTTGGGTAAAAACCCTCAGCTGAATATGTGAAATTATTATATCTCAGGTTTTCTTTAGGGAAGGTGCTTCCAATTTTCTGAGTTCATTGATGTTCTACTCAAATTGCAGCAATTTTTCTGAAAATTTTCTTCTCTCAAGTTTCTTGGCCTGAAAATCAAGAGCTTAAGTTAGTTATGAAAAACAATCACCCAGGTAGAATATAACAATTAATACAGAGGGTAGTATTTCCAAACTGTATGTATTTTTTGTTAATGTTTTTAAAAAATCAACATGACTAATGAATATAGGCTTTTTAAAAAGTTATATATTGTCTCTGAAGACTTCATTCCTGCTAAGATTACCTCTCATTACTGAAAATGATGCCTTTGTCTCCCTTCCCCCTGTTAAACTACAGTTAAAGTACTTGATATTTAAAAAACAAAAAGTCAAAAAAAACCACTCAGCAATAATACTGAGGTTAGTAATCGCACTAAAGAACATATAAACAATTTCTTTCCTCTAACCCAGCAAACCACATACGAAGGAATTGATACTCCATGAGTAATTTCATAATGTATATTTTCACTTCAAATAGAAACATTCAAACAATCCCTAATAGGTCTAATATATATAAGGATTTAAAATCTAATACATTTAATATTTAGTAAGAACTACTTTACAAGCGTTTTAAAATAAGTTCCCTCTTTCTGTTCTTTAAAAAGGTTTCTATAGAATGCTTTAAAAATTACCATGCTTAAGCTTGTCTTCAGTGGCTTCTTTTTTAATGCACTAAAATGTATCCTTATCTCTAGCATAGGCTTGCAAGCAACAGGAAGGAAACAGCACTTGACCACGTCATGGCAAATTAGAACATGCAAAGAACTGCACTTTACAATAGTAGAAAAACAGAAACGCAACTCAGAAGTGAAAACAATTTCAGAGTGAAGAGAGAAATGCTTTAAAAAGTCTGCCAAAGATATATACCTATTTTTTTTAAAAAAAGAAAATAAAAGCTACCACTACTAACAAAAGTAAAAAATAAAAATTTAACTTAGATGTTTATCGCAATTTTAAATACTGCATCAAATGGTTATGGCCATAAATGTGACATAAAAAGACAAAGATATAAAGATAATCACATTTAATAACATACAGTTCTCTGAAGTGGTATTTACAATTTTAATACAGATACTTCAAAAAAGAAGTTGACGCCAAAGAAAGGATGTCCATTAATTTCCTAATACTTTTAAAGAGACAAGTTTGGGGATGAAGCTGACATTGTGAGTTAGTTTTCCTGAAAACTTAAATACAGCTAGTGTATGTGCTAGCCAACTCACATACTCAAAACTCAATTCCATAAATTCACTAAAGACAGTTCCCGATATATTTTGGGCTCTAGGGGTCATCATGGATGACTATGATTTCCCTAACTGGAAGTCAAATTTAAAAAAATTAAGAATCCAATTCACATGATATTTCTACTCACTAAATTCTAACCCAGCAGTTTCCCATTGTCACCTACACCTTTTAATAATGAGTTCTAATTAGTTGGGTGTGGTGGCACGTGCCTGTACTTTCAGCTATTCAAGAGAGGCTGAAGTTTCAGAAGGATAGCTTGAGCCCAGGGGGTCTAGGCTGTGGTGAGCTGTGATCATGCCTATACTCTAGCCTAGGCGACAGAGTGAGACTCTAACTCAAAAAACAAACAAACAAAAAGCATAAAAGATTTCAACTCCAACATTGGGAAAGTATATTTAGCACATTCAGGCAGGCGGGGGGGTGGGGGGGGGGGGTTGATCTAAATCCATCAGACAGATATATAAACAAGAGATATACATTTGGTCTTGAACCAATGTTACTTATAACATCATTTCCCTTAAATAATTAGCCAATCCAACTCTTCTACAGTAGTCCTGCTCTCTTATGTTCCTCCACCCCTATTATCAGCTCTTTCCTCCTTTGTCAACTTCTATTATTCTCCATGCCTGGAACACCCCCACTTGTCAGCACCCAATCGCATCTTTTCCATTCTTCAGTGCTCAAGTCCCATTTATTTCACAAAGCTTCCCAACCTCTATGCCTCAGACCATAAGGATGGCGTCCTGAAAAAATTATGGCAATACTGAATGTAGCGCCAATTCAGCACTAACTATACATTGTCACTGTCTCACATTTGAAAACTGGATTCTCCTACTTCAATTGAGTAAATGTCTGAGTGCCTATTATTTGCAAGACAATGTGTTAGGCACCAAGACAATGAGAGGAAAACCTCTTCTGGGGAAGTAACCATTGTCTAAAATTTATTCTATACCTTCTAAACCTGTGAACCTACAGTGATGATAAAAAAGGATCATATGAATGACAGAAATTGTACTAAATATCTTATCATTAGATATTTAAGCTATTTCTACATATATTTTTTATTTAAAAAGAATGACTGAAGTACCTCTCATAAAGAGGAAAGTATCACCTTACATTTGAAAACCACTGTAAGAGGATATAACCAGAATCAAGGAATGTTTCCTGATACAGAAGTTTCTCTGTAAAAGGTTAGTTCCAAAAGTCTACTCCAAAACCTATTTATTCACAAGGGCAAAGTGACAATGTACACCAATGACCAATGCGAATACATTTATGTAAATTTAAGTTTCACTTTCTTTTCCATTGTCATCATGTACTTTTTCTTACCAGCACTTCCACACTGCTATTGTGCTTTAATACCTATCAGAAAGCTCAAAACTAAGGATAAGTAATCATCATACATACCTTACAGTACACACTAATAACCAAAAGTAATAACTGAAAACTGAAATGGCTCCCACAACCATTAAGCCATTTGCTGGGGCAGAAAAAGATATCTTTGTTCTGTACATTTCTATACAGAAGTTCATAGTCTGAAAATGTATAAGTAAAGAAAAACATGCTTTTTTTTTGAGTTGGAGTCTCACTCTCACCTAGACTGGAGTGCAGTGGCCGCTCCTGGCCACTGCAGCCTTGACCTGCTGGGCCCCGGCGATCCTTCCGCCTCAGCCTTCCAAGTAGTCGGAATTACAGGCGCGCACCACCACGCCCAGCTAATTTTTGATTTATTGTGGAGATGAGGTCTCGCCAAGTTGCCCAGGCGGGTTTCGAACCCGCAGGCTCAGGCAATCCACTCACCTCAGCCTCCCAAAGCGCGAGATTACAGGCTGAGCCAACAAGCCCGGCTAAGAAAAACATGTTACTTGTTTAATCAGGTATCTGATACTCTGTCATCTTTCCTGCTCCTCTTCCTCGTCCCTGTATACTTATATTCTCTATGGCTTCAAGGTGATTCTTGGGAATACATTTTCTGATTCCTGATCCAGAGGTATCACCTGTACACATCAAAGATATTTAAGTAACAGAGCCCAGGTATATTAAAATTTTTTCAGTAATAGACAAGACTGAAGATCTACATCAATGATTCAATTTTTCATTAGTGAACTGAGGTGTGTCCAGGGTGTCTCACAGTCTGCAATTCTAACAATTAAAACTAGAATTCTCATTTCCTAAATCAAGACTCTCTCTTAAATGATAATATACAGCCTTGTCTCCTAACCTACCCAAATCCTTTCTGTCATAATAGTTTAGAACTTAGTAAAAATGCATATTGCAAATTTTAAAAAATCTGCACCTTTAAGCTCAGCTAGAGGTTCTGTATTTTGCAAATCTAGTCACTAAACTGTCTATCAGACAAATCCAAGTGAGTGTACCTCAGTCAATGTATCCAAAACAAAACTGAAGGCATCATCTGATTCCTCAAATTTGTTCCTAAGTGGAAAAAATATACAAGTACTTAGATTGAGAAGAAAAAGGGCTTCTGCTCTACACTATCAAGCTGTAAGGTCCTTAGTAAATTTAAAACTTGTTTAAATTTACCCATCATTAGTTACATCTATTAAATTCAGGGACACTTGCATTAACAATTCTCAAACTTATGCTCTTTTCAAAATGTCATTTAGTCTTCCTAGTATAATAAGAAAAAAAGACAAGTGAAAACTATTCATCCACCACACAGACATAAATAGTAAACTTATTTGCACAGTTTTGAGAAGTCATCCAATTGGGCATCCACCAGATAATAAAAACTCCCAGGCTTCTCTCCATTGGGTCAGAACCATATACTTATTCTTCAGGAAGACATGCCACAGGAATACTTGCCAACAAGGTTCCCAACGGCTCATCACCAAATAAGCTTTGGATTTAAGGTAAAACTGTAAAGCAAAACAGTTAAGACCACAGGCTCTGGAGTCAGACCACTTAGGTGCCAATCTTCTGCAGTGTGACCTTGGACAAGTTATTTACTTGGTGTCTCAGTCTCTTCTTTCCATAAAATAGGTATAAGTCTCAAGTTTCCTCATTCTGTAAAATGAGTATAATAAACAGTACCGAAATCTAGAGTTGTTGTGAAGATCAGATACAAAATGCATATGTGGAATACCTGGCACATAAATTGTACTCAATAAACATTAGCTTCATTAGAGCTGTGAGTGTCCTGTAAGAATGTCACAGGTGCATGCCATGTAACTAATTATTCCTGAAGTATTAATTTCTATACTCTCTGGGAGTCTCCGTTACCACAGTTATTCACTAGACTTCAACAAGAACACCACAGCTCATTATCAACAAAAGTATAATTTTATTCCAGTGCCTAAAAATTTGGCACCTCTTTGATAAATCTAGTTGCTTCAAGGATAGGATTCCATTCTTTCTTTCTCTAACAGAGTCCCATTATGCCCCATTCCAAACAAAATGACTTCCAACTGTAAACACAAAATCCTTAGCCACATCCCAGGCTACTACAACCAATTCAAATAGTTAATTTTTGTTTATTATAAAAGACTGTACTGACTGGAATTCTTGTGTGGTGGACCATGATTAGGACTTTTTATGTGTTTTCTAATATTATAGAATGAGCTATAATAGCTCCCAGCAGAAATGATAATAAGTCAGTGGTATCAAGATAAATTCTGCATAGTCTTCTAACGGCCTGCCCATTCTCTATCTAAAAAGTGTGGAATTACAGGATTGCAGAGCTGAAAAAGATCTAAGCATTACACAGGACAATGCGTTTCCTCAAAGGATAACAATTTGGGTCTAGAGCATTCTGACTTCTCTTTTTTTTTGAAGAAAATGAGCAAAAGTTT